AATAAATATCGTATACTTTATAATGCTTATACCTAATTAAGTAATTTTAGATGATATAACGTCTAAGATAGGTTCAAATTACCGTAGTTCGATATGTGTAGATGACAATTAAGAAAAATGCGAAGAAAATATATAGACTATTCAATTTCACACACAAAAACTTTGAATATAAATAAAAATACTTGTATACAATGTACGTATATACAATATTTGTACAACTGTGTATTATTACAAATACATACAAAACCTAAAAGAATTTACCCACCTCACATACCAAGTTTATTTAATTTGAATTTCGTTTCATTACTAAAATACAATATACCTGCGCATAGGTCTATTTTCCTATTTTCTCGGGATCCTTACTTTAAGTTGGGGCTACGCAAATGTGGGAAACCACAATTAATACGCTTCAAGCGCTCTGCTGGGACTTTTGATACAGATATTAACGAAGTCCTACAATGCTCAATTTCGTTCCATTTTATCTCTTTCTCTTTTTATCACTCTGTTCTCAACTCTAGGAGTCCAATGTGGATATGTATGATATGGTCTATGGTAGTGCTATTATCTAATATTATTCATCTAAGCGTAGAGAGTGGTGAGCTTACATAGACATACATTCCAGTCTGGTTCGATTCACTCGACTCTTGCTGCTGATTGAAAACTTTGGTCTTCTGTCTGTTGAATATATTTCAAGAAGCCTCTTATAGCACTCAATTTAGCAAACTTAGACGTAAAACACAATCAGGAAAGTTCAGATTTATTAAAGTTAATTATGGGTAAGTAAAGCAGACTCGGGCTGGGAGCAGCAGCGACTGCTCCTAAGTTGAGCACGCTTTACTCGTTATCCGGCTCATCATTTTGGTTATTTTAATCATAATTTCAAATATAGTCGACTGCACGCGAAGTTAAGTGGCGGAGGTAAGTGGCTGCTGTGCCCGGATTGTGGGCCAAAAATACTTTACTTAGCAAACTCATCAAAGTTGAGTTGCCTACACGGCAAGGCCATGGACCTGGAGTAGGAAGCAGCACTCACAGAGCATATGAACTTAGTGATACGGTGTCTATCTGCGCATATATATATGTATATGAATATATATATATCAATTATATATATATATATATATATACATACATATATGAATGAAATATATATTTTTTGGCAGCCGCTACTTGCACTGGGAATTGAAGACAGAAGCAGAGAAGTTGAGAAATACTATAATAAGTTGTCCCGAATTTGTTTGCCCTGCTGAATTTTCATTTCAATTTTCCAGCTGCAGTTTTATTTAATCTCACTTCAGGTGCAACGAATGCGTTCGAGTGTTTACCTTGTCGGAGTGCCGGCAGCTTGCCTCGCCGTGCCATGTGTTTGCACTGCCAGTCGAATTTTGCTGAGATGCATGTGGCTTATCTAAGACTTGCTTCCTCACATTCTGTACATTCTGTAGCCATTAGGCATGTTGATCCACCTGTATATCGCAACAAGCGGTCGACGCCAGCTCGTCTCTCACCACAATTATGCTGTCAATATATTGATAAACTGCGATAAACTTTGTAAGCAAAATGTTTTTGGATACTTCAAAAGCTCAAATCACATATCAAAGTTTGCTCCATCAAAATTTTTTACTTGATTTCTTAAGCATAATTCATAGAATATAACGCCTATGCCATTGTTTATGCCAGCGTTTTAATGTATTTGTTTTTAAGCTTACTTTGTATAGGTAAATTATTATTATTATTTTCAAGAGAGGTGTAATATTTGTTCTTGGACTCCAATGCAGAAATAAATTGACTAAATAATAATTATAGATCACACCCATACGGATTGTAAGTAAGCCTTGAACTCACAGCAACTTCATTCATCTCAGTAATTTATCCTTATTAATAAAGAATACCTGAATGGAATTGCAAAGTTAAGCACATACACTACACTCAATTGAATTGATTTCACATTGAATGCAATTTATATTTCAGAATGATATATAAAGATATCAAACGTATCGTACACACTCCGAGTTTCAGCCAAAGATATTTCAGATAAAACTTTTACAATTCATATGTTTTTGCATTAAGCAGAAATGTAGTAAACTTGTAGTAAACTTGTCTTCACATCAATGGAAGATAAAGTCTATTTTATGGGATTGTCAATAGAATCACCAGAATATTTTTGTATATCATGTAGCATTTGAAAACGGTAAACGAAGTATGTACAATTTTAAAAGTATTTTCTGTTTCAATTAAGTCGATATATTACGATATTAAAGTTTTAGATATCGGCAAATGTTACAGGTGGAATATTATGGATCTCTATAGTCTTGTAAAAACAAATCATCTGTATTTATATGTATATATTATAGCTATCATATAGTTAGTTTTTCAAACTTTTCTGCTGGAATTTTGAACGGGTGTTGTGAAGTCCATAAAGTCCTACAGAATCTTTTATAGTTTAATTGAAATACAACTTTAATATTTTATGGTTTAGTGCTGGCAACATCGATTGCCAGCTAGTCTAGATCAATTGAGCTTGTTTGGCTGTCTGCTTGAGAATTTCAACATTTTGCATTGGTTAATTTGTGGTATTTGCTGCACTCTGTGGCCATTTCTGTGTGCGTTGTTAGCTCAGCAAATTAGAAAGATATATCACATAATCTAATGCTGCGGCTCTGACTGTGGCTGAGGCTGTGGCTGTGGCTGTGGCTGCCGAGAGTCGAATGCAGCTGTAGGCCGAGATCATTTCTGGTAACTCTGGGCAATAACTTTGGCTATTACTTTGCCATTGTTGCAGTCGCAATGACAAAAGTTTAGCAAACAAAACTGTTTTTCTCAGCGCCCAGGGTCGACGTCGATGAGGATAGCTCTGGCTGCATTTCCTTTTCCGACTCTGGCTGGCTATTCGGTAGCAACTGCAGTTAGGAGGCGTTGTCGTCGTAGTCTCGAGCACCTTTTTCTTTGCATATTTGTTTTGAAAACTTTTCAATTGCTTACTGGATTTTCACACAAATAAGAATGCACACAGACACACACATACACACACACATGGACACACTCACAAAGTGTGTAAAAGCGATGGAAGAAGTGGAGCAAGAGATGGGGGACAGTTTGAGAGACTCTCGTCTTGTATTTGCAGACCCTTCCCCTTGTTCTCGGCCCTTTCGACTTTTCACATGGAGTTCGTTTTTGCCTTTTGCAATTTGTTCCCAATTGATTTCAAACACTTCAAATTTATTGGTTTTCAAAAACTTTACGAATTTTATTGTTTCCGCTAATTCCTTTGTCCAGCTCAACAGACGCAGACGCAGCTGCCCAGAGACAAATAGCCAAGCATTCAACAGTCGGTCTAAACTCAACAAAAAAGAGTAAAATGCAAGTTGATAATGGCATTGGTGAGAGAAGGGAAGAAAAGCTATTTGTGGCAAGGACTCGAGCAGGATGCGCTGTGCATCCTTGCAGCTTTGAAAATGGCCAAAATATATATGCACCAGAGTTAGGCCGGATATGAAAGTCATAGAAATGAAGCACTCTATATATATGTATGTGTGTTTGTGTAGCAACATAGTTGTTTTTAAAGAATGTGACTTAATTAAATATAACTTAAAATTTTGCTTAAGCAATGTCAATGCATGTGGGGTAAGACTTTTTCTTTTTAAGTAATAAATATATATTTTAATATAATGCAATAAATTAAGATAAGAATACCATTAAAATAAATCAGACTTTTACATATTCTTTTATTTTACATTTCTCTCCTTCTTTATATATTATATTGAGATGAATGTTTCGACTCGAGAATCAGTTGAAGGGCTGTTAGTTCATTTGTTTTGTTACACCCAGCAAGCCCTTAATGGGTATCTCATACAAACATACCAATTTTCAGCTTTTGGCCACATGCACATACATATAAACATAAAAATGATGTATACATAAATTGATATAGACATAAAATAAATATTGTATATCCATTCATTCACATATGCAATATGCAGCTTCATATAATTTTGTACCTTATGTTTGCATAGAAAATATTGGAATGTATGTAAATAAAATGATATAAGCTAAAAGATGTATATACAATATAGATTTACATGTGTACTTTAGAATATAATATCAGAATTATTTATATATTTTAATATTGCAGTTTGCAAATACGTACATATTGTGAATATATACATACATGCACAAAAACACATGCATACATGTATGTATTATTATTACATTTTTGAACAATTAAAAAAAGTCAAATCTCATAAACGAATGCTCCAATTTCATGTCTGTCCGTTTTCATTAAATATAGTATTCATTTACTATTTCAAAACATGTCGAGAAATATTTCACATTATGTGGCTCACTTGAAAAAGTTTCAGGACCTTGAATTGAATTTGTGGTTGATTTCATGATTGTAAAGGGCAATGCATGCATAAAAAGCTTACCTACATATAGCATACGTATGTGTACATTTATGCATGCATGAAAAGAAACATGCATACATTTATATCATTACAAATGGATGTAATTATGTTTGAATATCTTCTCGTATTTATCCTGCCTTCATATATTTGCATACTAGAATACATATAAATAATCATTTATTCATTTATATTTAAATTTTGTCTTTTACATGCTCAAATACATGTTTACATGCAAATGGTTTGGCTAGCTGGTCATGAGAATCGCACAGAAGAGCTGTGTGAATAGATTTATTTGCTTTAATGTTTTTACCAATGAATAAATTCAAAATACATGATTCCTATTTTCTATCCTTGCATTTCGATCTGAAGAAAATTTTTAAAATGAGATAATGATAAATGATAAATCAATTTAATTTCGAATATAAATGCAGTAATTCTTTAACGACTTTTCTAGAATTTCGTTTAATTTTATCAACAGCTGTTGAAATTCTAGGGAAAACATCAACAGCTGTTTCTCTGATTGCCAAGGCACTGCGCATGTCCTGCGTCCTGTTGTTTTTCATTTGCTAGAGAAAGAGAAAGAGCGCACTTGGCTGTTTTGACAGTTGACATAACTAGCCAGTCGAAAATATAGTGAAAGCGTGCAGAAATATAACTCAGATCTTTGTAAAAGTCAAGTGTAAAAAGTTTCGGCTCATCTGCGGTGTAGTTAAGTGCACGAATCGCGTTGTGAAATGTATTAGAAAAAGGTGAAAGACGAAAATGTGGAGGCAAAGGCCAGAGCTTGCTCAAAATGGAATATTTGCTGATGCCATTTCGTCGCAGCACGGGCCGAAATAGTCTTTTGCACCTTTCCTTAGCTGCAGCTTAGGCAGGAAAAGTCATATTGGCTTGAACCTGGAGTTCCCTTAAATTTAGCTGAGTTAAGCTTAAATCACACATCAGGAAATGCGCTGCACAGTTTTTTATTGATTTTTCCTTTTATATTGGCCACACAAGGAAAGCTGTCAAGCAGCAGCGCTTACGCTCTCGTTCTCTTTTACTTTCGCTCTTGCGCTCTCTTTTCGCCTTTTGTTTTGCTACGCGTGTTTATTGCTCATCATAGCGTGCCACATTTGTTTGCCTTTTCAGTTGCCGCAGATCAAGTAAAGAAAAAGCCATGCCAAATACTTAGGATCAAAAGTTAGCCCATAAGCCAAGCAAAGCCACGCCAAGCCAGGCCAAGCAAACTTCCGCAAGTGTCCAGAAACTAACCACGTACCCACTCACCCACCACCCACCACCCACTTGCACTCCGTCATGTTAGGCAGCAGGAGCCCCCCAGCTTACAAGCCGCTCGCATCGGGATCGGGGGGCTCCGCCAGCGCCATCAATCTCAGCTCCAGTTCAAAATCGAGCAGCAACAGCTCCCACAGCGGCCATTCCTATCCGCAGGCCTACGCCGGCCACTCCCACGCCTGCTACCATCATCAGCAGCAGCATCAGCATCAGCATCAGCATTCCCATCATAGTCAGCATAGTCAAGGAAGCCGCACGTCGCTAACACCAACCATGAAGCGAGGCAAGAAGAACTGGGGCAGTCGAGAGCGATCCAGCATGAGTTTCCTCATAGTCATTCTCTTTTTCGCTGTCTTTGGTCTCATCATATTGACCGAGGTAAGTTTATGAATTCGTATGTAATAAGAATTTTATCTTCTTGACATAAGGGAAAAAACTTGAATTCTACGAGTTGTCTTGTAATTTCATTTACTATACATTTGTGTATTAATTACCATTGTATATGAATGTGAGGGATAATAACTTAGTGAATCAGTTAATGAAAGCTGAACAGTCACAATTATCGAGTAAAGCTAGTAAATTATTCATATCCCTTAGTGCCGTCGATAGTTTACCTCGATTATGTAGAGTTTATTGCCAGCTTAGTGGATATTACTATCAACTAAAAAAATCTATTAATTTATCGCTACATACTCCAATTAATTTAAAATAACAAACTGCAACCAGGGCGATTTAACAATTATATTATTATATAGATTGACATATATTTTAATCTGTCTAGTGAATTCTTATATACTGAACGCATCGAAAATGGGAATTCATCATATGTATGTTAATATAATAATTTCACTATAATGCATATAACAATCAGTAGGTGTTCTCGGGAGATACCATAAAGCCTAGCTGAGTTGATATAGCTACACATATAGTCTGTGCCTCTACTTTAATATGTCTTCCTACTTAACAATGTCCTATATATCAGTAGCAGTATGACGCTATCATTTGCTTGATAACCATTGCTTGATACCTTGTTTCAGAACCGTAATATTAATACCAGTAGTTAATATAAATATATAGTGAAGGTTCCCGTGATTTTATGTACTTATTCTTTTACAATGCATATAATAGGCGTGACAGAGGCTATAAATTAAATATATTCTCGATCAGGACGAGCTGAGTTCAGTTAACGCTAGCCATCCGACCGCTGAGTGTGTGAATGTGTTTATGTATGTATGCAATAAAGAATCGTAGAACGAATCGAGCAGTCTCGACTTAAATTTTCATATCGGGGTCCAGGGGCTCTCGACTAGGGGGATCCCTGATTAAAGACTTTTACTTGCTTCAATTTATTTTATTTAGTTATTTTTGTTACACAATCTGATTGATTGCGAAAGTGCTTCCAGGGTCTCTAGAGGTCGGGCTCCCCCTCTAGAGTCTTGTTACTTGTTTATATACAATATTGGTCAACTAATTCCAAAGATGTTTGTTAGGAAGTAAACATGCCTTTGCTCATAAAATATGCATGAAGCAATTAAAAAATGATTTTTGATTGGAGCGAGGAGTTGCGAATGTACCGCGGCTGTATTTTAAATTCAGCGTGAAATTCATGACGGCCGCAGACGTTAATTAAAATGCCTAAGCATCGCCGCTAGGAATTAGCTTAAAATTAAGCCAGGCAGCCGTAAATCCATCCCAGACATCCACTGACTCCTCTTACCTCTTTCGCCCTCAGGTTTTCATGATCGACGAGCGCTCCCACAGCGGCCTGATGGCCATGAGGGCCGGCGGCGGGGGCGGAGCCAGCCTGGGCGGTCGCCTGGGTGACGCGATGCCGGATTATGATAATGTTAAGGTAAGTTTTGTTATGCAAATCTATGTGGCGCTGCCAGCCAAATGGTCAACAATTGCTCCACCTGCCGGCGTGATACGTGGGCGTGGCAGCTTAACTACTGCGCCCATTTCACGGCGGGGGCCGTGGGAAAACAAAAGCTGCGGCGATTCGCCATATTGCGCTGCATACCTTGCGGCTGGCGGGAGGCAAAGAGATTTGCATATTTAAGCAAGCAGCATAGCGCATAATGCATATGATTTACTTATCCTTTCATTTTTGAGTCTCTTCTCTTTTCTTTTTGTGCAAACAAAAGCTGATTTATTTGCAGTTTTGAAACCAGAAGAGCAGCCATAGCCCATGAGCTGACAGTTTTCATATTTCATATCCAAGTGGGTTTCTCTTGAGCATGAATTGAGCAAATGAATGTAAATAAAATATCCTAATATCACGTAGATTCAGTTCTTAGTGGGAAAGGGGCTCTCGAGTTGTACTCTGTGAGAATTGAATGGTTAAGTAAAAGTTTTAAGAGTTGCTCTGGGCTCATGATATTTCATTTACTCATTCTGAAATCCATTTATTGCATTGCATTATTTATTTACTTTTGTGTTCGCAGGATGATTACGATCTGGACGACAGCATTCTGAGTGACAATAAATTGGGTTTTATACAGTTCCGTGACAATAAACTCAAAATTCAAGGTGAGTGGTAGATGGGTAAGTGGGTAGATGGTAGATGGTAGATGGTAAATGGCAATCAGCGCCACACAATGCCAAGCGAAATGCAATCAGAGACAGCCATGTCTGAGATAACAAAGGCCATCGAGTGCTGAGATGAAACTCACGGATTTCAACAATTCACAGAAGCCGCAGGCGCCGATGGCCAACGTCCGAGGTATGCGGGCATGCTGCTCAATGGAGGAGTCGGAGCGGGCGAGGGCAACGGCGCTGGCGCCTTCGGCGTGGGTGTTGCCGGCGCCAGCAACGGGCTGAGCATGCCGCTGATACCGTGGGGCCAGCTGCTGCCCGCCCAGGTGGAGGAGACGCTGCCACATTTCCCGTTTGGCACGGCGCCAGGCGACGGCGCCTGGCAGGTTGTCAATGGCACCCGGTTCAAGTTCTTTGTCTATTCCGCCTACTTCGATCGACGCGATGGAGCACGCCTTGTGCGCGTAGTTGGAGCCACCAAAACACGTGGACCAGAGCGCGTCTGGTGCAGATTCTGGTATGGCCCGACCACCTACAACAGCAGCGAGCCATTCCCCTCAGCAGCACGTGCCAAATACACCTCGGCCACGGTGATGGCTCGCGTTAAGGTGAGTTCGGTCAATAATCGCCCAACCATTACAGATATTAACTCAATGAAATGAACACGGATTGGGTGGCTCTAATGCAATTGAATTATGCTCCTCAGCGGATGCGTATAATAGGCAAAGGGAAATATCTATAATAGTCTTTCTATACCCTGCGACCATTTAAAATGAGAACTCTGGAAAACTTATTATATACTAACAGGCAAAAGGAGGCGTGGCAGGTCTCATAAAGTATATATATTCTCAATCAAGGCTATGAGTCTGTCCGAATATGTCGATCTCAGCAGGTATAAGAGCAAAAGACTTGAACTTTCCTTTCGTATATACCTCGCACATATCGAATGTACCGTCATATAGTCATATCCTTAGCAGTGAGAAAGCAAAATTTTCTGAGGCCATCAGACAAGGATTGGATGTGTGTCATGAGAGAATCATTGAGAGATTCCTTCAATAGTTAGAGGGTAATTCAAAGTATAACTGATTACGCTTTACAGATCATACGCGAGAACTGGAATTTGAAGTACAGCGCGTGCTTCGTGCTCTGTCCGGTGCGAGCTCCATTGTTGGAGGTGCCCCAATTTGTGAGCGTGGTGTCCAGATTGCGAGCACCGCCCGGCAACTTGATAACGTTGCGCAACACGGATCAGGACGCGGACTTCGCTCAGCAGCCGGTGCCGCCAGCGTCAGCGAGCAATACCAGCGCCGCGGGACACAGTGGAGCTACGCGTCGTCCCAATGCCCAGGGACCGCCCAGCGGCGAGCAGATACCTGATAGGATTGCCGTGTGCGTGAAGCCGTTTCACTTTAGCTACGATCAGGCCTTGTATCTGATGGAGTATCTGGAGTTCTATGCTCTACTGGGCGTCTCGCACTTCACCTTCTACAACCATACGCTTGGTCCGCACGCCTCCTGCGTGCTGCAGAGCTACCAGCAGGGCCAGGTGCCCGGCAACCTGACCGCCTTCGACTGGGAGCCGCTGCAGCCCGCCGAGGCAGCCGGCAATGCAACGCCGCGTGTGCTCAAGTCGCTGCACTACCAGCGACCCACGGTCAGCATTCTGCCCTGGAACCTTCGCATGCGCTCCCAGAAGGAGATACGCACCGAAGGTCTCTTTGCAGCCCTCAACGACTGCCTCTACCGGACAATGTACCGCTACAAGTATCTGGCGCTGGTCGATCTGGATGAGTTCATCGTGCCGCGATACACGGACACGCTCAATGAGTTGCTAAGGTGAATTAAACATGCCTGCTGAGATGAGATGATTCACGTATTCACTTACCCCTTCCTCGACAGCTCGCTGAACCAGCGCTTTCGCAACCGCAATACCGGCGCCTATTCCTTCCAGAACGCCTTCTACTATCTGCAGTTTGCCGACGATCCGCTCGCCAGTTCAGGAATCTCGGGCGGCAGCGATCAGCTGGCCAGCGTGCGAGCCTCCCTGGTGACGCAGCGCAAGACGCGCAGGTGGATATGCTGTGATTGAATCTCTTACTCGTAGAGCTAATTTCAATCTATTTCACACAGGCGGTACAAACTGCATCCGCAAAAACAACGCTCCAAATACATTTGCAAGCCCGAAGCTGTCGTCGAGGCAGGAAATCATTTTGTCTGGGAATTCTCTCCGGGCATGGGATCACTCAATGTGCCACCAAAGGAGGCCATATTGCAGCATTATCGGGTGAGTCGATGCGTTAGTGGAACGTTTGCATTGTGTGGACAATAATGGATTATTTCAAACAAATATGAGTACCCTACTACGTGTGATAACTCTGGACTGGATGGATGTATACATACATATATGGCATCCAACCAATAATTCAGTTATATAATTTCTCTTGGCAGGACGTCTTCGATTTTTGTTTTCCCTTATTGGACTCAATCTTCAGTTTGAAATAGCTTATAGATGAATTGAGTACAAATATTTATTCTCTTATGTTTTTTTGGCAGGTTTGTGAATTTGGTGGCAATGACTGCATCAAGGCACCGTCTATACTGGATCGCACCACCACCAAGTACGTGAACCGCCTGGTGCAGCGCGTGGATGCCGTCTATCGGCATTTGAGGCAGCGCTGCGATCTGCCGGCGCTGCCAACGCTGCCCAAGCGCTCGAGCGCCCAGGCCCAGGAGCAACAGCACAACGAGAAGCCCAAGTTACTACAACAGATGCGCGAATCGAACGCGCAGCAGAGCCAGAAGGAGCAGCATGATCACAAGGATCCGAGTGCGTCGCTCAAGGCAGCAACGAGTGCCACAACGAAGCAACAGCAACAGCATCAGGTAAGGAAGCCGACGACGACAACGACAGCCCCACTCCAGGGTAAGAGTGGAGCACAGAGTCCACAGGGAGCAGCCACAATGACGGCCAGGACAACAGCCAACGATCCACTCAAGCAGCAGCTGCCGCCGCCGGCCAATGTGCGCAAGAAACGCAAATTGATCGTGTTTGAGTTAGATGATATGGGGGTACCCATAGCGCGCGTTGAGTATCACTGAGAAACGGTTTTAGCTGGCGAAATAGTCGCCTAGGCGCTGGCCTCTTCCTGCATGTGTGCATTTGTGCCAATTAGTTGGAGTTTTAGCAGCGAATAAAGCAGAGCTTGATTGATTATTTTGAATAGGTTTTCGGAATAGGTTTTTGCCCTTGGGTTGTGCTTCAGAGCGGTTGTTCCACTACATTTTGCTCAATGTCATATCAGGAAATAAAAAAGCGAAGTTCTCACGAACTTTTACGATGTCGCATTGATTTCTCATGACATTTACAGCCTTTTTTGTGTATTTAATATTAACATTTGCGAATAACATTGGATAGTTACTTTGGTCATCCTACAAATATCTCAATATGGTATATATATATATATATATATATATATATACCATATATATATAACGAAATTATTCCTATTCAAAATTTGAAATAAATTCCTAAGGATAAAGTCAAACTGTTAGCGTAAGTTTAGTGTAAGCGCCCAAACTTAAAAGTACTGTTAGCTATACGTATTAATTATATCCGGATATTTCAATTGCAAAAATATTTACCGATCCTCAAGCTAAGCACCAAATACAACTGATAGAAACTATACTTAGTTAGTCCCTCTGCCCCAGTATATCAAGGCGGAAATGGAGCTACCAATGAATTGAATAATCAACAGAACGAAACGAATTTTAAAATGCTTCAAAGTATCGCACATATTTGTATATTTGTTTGCCTTGAACAGCAAATAGCACGCAGCAAGCGTAGAGTTGCATCTATTAGATATACAAATATTTATACAAGCTATCTAGTCGTAACGCTCAGTAGTTGATAAGTGATAAACATGCCTCATTATATGGCAAGTGTTTTCCAATGAATAACAGTCAATAAAATTATGTGCAAACAAAAATAAATTTCATCTATTTTTTGTAGACTTTCGGTTTGGGATATTATGTGTGAGCCCCTCATTCTACACAGCGAATTCATGAACCATATTTGGGTAGAGCAGGTTTATAAATATAAAATTGTATAAACTCTTATAAATGTCTCATCTAGGACATTTATATGAAGTTTATAATATAACAAAATATCCCAAATAAATTGACAGATTTTAGCGAGTAGAACAACGTAGATCTGTTTGCTTACATAGCTCTGTGGTAATGTAAATCTGTTAGTTTGCAGCTCGAAAGTGCCTTAGATTTCTGTCATATTAGAAAAGTTTTTTTTTTTTTTTTGTCTTACTACCCAAAATGCAATATAAATTGTATAACAACAAGCTTTCACACTACGTACAATTAAAAGTGCTCAGCTTTTCCTGAAGCATTTGTTTGTATAAAAACTTTCGGTTAGGGAGTTCATATAACAAAATTTCACAGCTTGGTTTGTAATATGACAGTTTTTGGTTTAGTAACATAAAAGCAGTGCGAGCTTATATAACAAAATAAGCTTACATACTTGTGTTGAGCTTTATGTAATTCTTTGCTACAGCTTTATTCCGTTTGCTTGTTGCGGAAATTTGCCATGTGGACAAAACCTCGGAATGCTGGTATAAGACAGAGTTGAAATATAAATTTATGGTTAAATAAAATATAAAAATTATGGTTAGATATAAAAGGGGAAACGGGGAAACGCTTGGATGTAATGGAAATTTTAAGAGGGGAAGTTAAAAACAACCCAAGCTTGAGTGAGAACAATTTTATGCATATCAAAAGCTAAAGTCAACAAAGAGGTGCATGCATAGTATGTATAAAAATACATATTTATTATTTTCTATATACATACATACTAGGAATTTAATTATTTGTACAGCAATAATTCTATACTCGTTAGTTTGCAGTTTTTGAAACAGATATAACTACATCACTTGATGGGCTCAAATGTTTGCGAACGCGCGCAACACGCAAACATTTGACCAGTTGTTAACAACTATATTATGTTTCAGCGCTAGAAAACGGTGAAAATGAACAATTAAATGTAACCGTAAACTGTAGGACTGCTTGGCAATATACCTGTAGAATCTTATTACATTTGCGTTAAAATCTGAAAAATAACTGATTTGCTGCAGAGCTAATTGCTACATAACCCTTAACAAGAGTACAATATTGGGACCTTATCTTGATCTCGGTGAAAATACTCAAATCTTAATTAACTAACTTCATATGACTCATTTGAATTACTTAAAACCTAAGCAGATGCAGTCAGACACAGATTAAAGTCATGTCATCGTCTGTCGAATCGTTCCTCTCCGCAGGGAGAGAGGGTTACGAAGTAAAGGGCGGCAATAAAAAGGAGATACCGGAAATGTAGCAGGAAACAAAATGACTTAATGCGCTGCAATTGCTATAGAATTGGTCAGACATAGCCATGGGATACGGGAAACAGAGAGAGATGTAGGGGCTAACGTTCCGGTTACGGAACACCGATGCACTTAAGCAGGCGGCGCACGTGGTGCGTGGGTCAGCGGAAAATGGCGAATGGCGAATGGCAAATGGCGAAGCGGCAAACGGTGAATGGCTTCATAATTGGAATGGAAACGAAATGGAAATGGAGATGGAAATGAATGACCGCCACATGAGGCGGGCGAACCACAAGGAAAATGCGACGTTGCATTCATTGAGTAATCGACAGATTTTTGCATTGAGCTTCAATTTTTATTATGCTGCTTTAATGGCCCACCACCTGTATAATAATGCTATAATGCTTTAAATCGGGGATTCCCGTTAGTGTGTAAGAAATTATTAATTTGTGTCTTCATCGCCACTGGGTTCCGAAGAGTCTGTTGTCGTCGTCGTCGTCGTCGTCGTCGTCGTCGTTGCCGTAGGATTCAACTTAATGATGTTCTTGACTTTTTCTTCACATATATCCTTCTTTGCATCCAACTGTTCCAAAAAGATATCAGTATTGCTTTTCGCATACGTTCCTGCTTCGACCAGGGATTTGCTGCTCCTTATAATCGTATTCAGATTGCTTTGTGCGCTGTTAAGCTTCACCGCTAAAATGTTCAGACTGGTACAGCGAGCGACCCTCTTGGTGTCTTCTAGACACCGGTGCAATGCATCATTCAGCGCCCTAGCGTGTCTGGTGTAAATATAAATTATATCCTGTACTGTCTCTTCAAAATTATTCTTTTGCTGCTCGTAGTTGTTCAGAGTGCGCTCTAGATATACTGTAGAGACTTCGGTAAACAGTTTAATGGCATCTTTTGCCTGCCGTAGTCCAGCTGCATTGGTATTATTTTTCGCTGTATCGAGCTGGGCCTCTTCCCACTCCGACAGTGTAGAAAGTGTGCCGGTAATCGTCTTATTGAGATCCTCGGGAAGCTTGCTGTTTATTTCAATGATTTCAGATTCGAGGTCAGTAACAACTTTACGAAGAGATTTTAATGCTGTCAGCCCCGTCGTCAGTGGCTGAATGGGGTTTTCTTCCTTATTTATTTCCACTTCGAGAGCTGAAATCTCGTCATCTAATTTTTTTCCTGATGCTGTTATGTCACTGACAAATTTCTCAGATAATCCACTCGATGAAGATTCAGTTGATGACTCAGTTGAATTTTCATCGGCATTTCGTCTTGTTCTCCAGATTTTCCCAACAAGACTCTTACCACCTTCAATCAGATTGGATCCTATGTTACCAAAGAATGAGGGTTTTCCCAAGGAATCATCTCCATCTTCGCTTTGGTCCGATACTGATTCGTTGGCAGACTCTGATAAGTGTTCGTCAATAATTTCATCTAGGTCTCTCTCAGATTCAACCATATCATCAGCCAACTGCTTCAAAAGGGATTTAACCTCTCGACTGTCATACCAATTTGTTCTTATCAGTGCTTTGCCGCTTTTTAACGCGATTTCCAGTTTGATTTTGTCAATGCTTAACTTTTCTACTGACTCCTTTGCCCGTACTGCGCACTGGACGGCGCTAATGGGGCCGTACATACATTGATTCAAATTATCAATCAGCGCCGTAGTGTCTTCTATATAAATGCTTATGTTTTTTAAGATCTGCTGCTCAAGCTCAATTTTTTTGAGCTCTACGCCACTGAGCGCATCAATAAGATTTTGTGAAGAGCGTTTAAGTACCTCTTGAATGATGTTGGTGGCCTTCTCAAGGCCGACGCCATTGGTCTTACTGTTCACACGCTGCAGTTGCTCCTCTGCCCACAGCAGCAATCCATTTAGAGTGTTATTAACTTTACCCATGTCGTCCGATATTTTACTGCTCACATCCAGGTATACAGATTTCACGTTCAAGGCTATCGAATGAAGATCCTTCAGCGCTTCAAACCCACTCCTTAATGCCTCTCTCTTCAGCGGATTCAATTCAACTTTACTCTTTCTTTCAAGCTCTGCAATTCTGCCCGAAATGTTGTGGAATTGACTGATTATTGAATCGGAAATTGCGTTTGATATCTCTTTTCCAAACTGGGTCAAATCATCCAGAAACTGGCCCTTCGCATCGTGTATATCTTGGAATAAGTCTTGGAGGTCAGCACCGTGTGCGCTTGCATTCAAAAGATCTTCAAAACGATTTTTGCTGTTCTCACGTAGCCTAGATAACAAATCGGCAAACATTGAAAATTTCTCTGATGATTCATGGGATATTTCAGATTCATTGGATGCTCCAGATGATGCTCCATTGGATGTTCCTGATGATGCTCCACTCGATGCTCCAGACGATGCTCCTTTGGATGTTCCAGATTCATTGGATGCTCCAGATGAAGCTCCGTTGGATGTTCCAGATGAGGCTCCATTCGATGCTCCAGATGATGATCCATTGGATGCTCCAGATGATGCTCCATTGGATGTTCCAGATGATGATCCATTGGATGTTCCAGATGATGCTCCATTGGATGCTCCAGATGATGATCCATTGGATG